ACACACTGAGCACAAGCAAACGGCCACAAGGCCAGTTCACATGCAGAGGTATATATGCAGCAAGAACAGTACAGTGATCTCTACCTAGCAAGAGAAAACATGCAGGTATATGTGTATAAATATATATATATATATATACATCACAGTACAAGAAGAGACTACAACAAGTGTGGAAACGTAGGAACAAGGCCCAACAAAGTACAAAAGCGCTGATGGTCACCAGACGGAAGTGCCTTGGTGAATATATCAGCAATGTTGGCCCAAGTGGCCACGTGAGCAAGGCGAAGCTGACCCCGCTGCTGCAACTGTCGAGCTAAGAAGTAACGCAGAGCGATGTGCTTTGTTCTGTGCTCCAGTCTGTGAACCTGACATAAGGCAATGGCGGCCTTGTTGTCTACGTACAGAACTGGAGGAGAACGAGGCCACTCTCCCACGTCGGTCAGCAGATAGGTGAGCCAGCGTAACTCCTGTGCAGTCATGGCTGTGGCGTAGATCTCAGCCTCACAACTGGAGCTAAGAACAGAAGACGAGCGTGTAGACCGCCAAGAGACAGAGCCGGAGCCAAGGCTGAACGAGTAACCCTGTGACGACCGCTGTGTAGCCTGGTCATCAACCCAAGAAGCTTTTGAGTGCCCTGTGAGGACAACTGGACTCCGCCCTCCAAGCACGAGCCCCATGCCCGATGTACTGCACAAGTAGCGTAGTACCCTCTTAGCAGCATCCATGTGCACCTTTCGGTGCCGACCAGGAGCCACGTAGCGAGCCAGAAGGCCAAGAGGGTACGCAAGGTCAGGACGAGTGCAAGTCATCATGTACATGAGGCGGCCAACTAGCTTTGGGTAAGGACCACTCGGCTCTACGGACTCGTCTGAAGGTGGAGCTGAGAGCGAGTGACCTGTAGCCAGAGGAGTAGCCTGTGACGAGGACCAGGTGAAGCCGAAGCGCTGAAGGACCTGCTGCACCATGTGTGACTGAGTCAGGGTTAGGTGCGGCGTGCTCTGTCCCGGGTGATCTGCAAGCCAAGGTAACTGCGCAGCTCACCCAGGTCTGTGCACGTGTGTCTCTTCTGGAGCTCCGACTTCACCAAGGCAAGAGCCTCAGTGTCAGCAGTGGCAAAGACCAAGTTGTCGATGTACACAAGGATGTAGAATGGTGGCAGCGAAGTGTCGGTGCGCAGAAACAGCGACGGGTCAGCAGTCGACGGAGTAAACCCAAGAGCCGCAAGTGTCGTCCTCAGTGTGTCGTGCCACTCACAAGGAGCCTGGCGGAGACCGTAGACCGGCCGCCGGAGGCTCCACTGGGTACCAGGAGGGAACGACCCAGTGAAGCCAGGCGGGCGGTGCAGCCAGATCTCCTCGTGCAGGCGGCCCTATAAGAAAGCTTTGCTGAAGTCAAGAGAGTGAAGCTCATAGTCACGCTGAGCGGCAACGTGCAGCAGCACCCGAAGAGTGGTCATCTTCGGGGTGGGGGAGAAGGTCTGGAAGAAGTCAACTCCCTCTCGCTGACTGAAGCCTCGAGCAACGTAACGAGCCTTGAAGACAGGCGGAGAACCTGGCGGCCGCTTCACCCTGAACATCCACATGACGTTGACGATGTTCGCCCCGGGAGGGGGAACCTCATCGACGTACGTGCCTGTGGACTTCTAGGAAGCCATCTCTGCGTCCATGGCTGTCTGCCACTGATAAGAGTACTCACCCGCGATTGCCTCAGCGTAAGAGTGCGGGGTCGGGATGTCTGGTGCATCCGGGTCTCCCTCAGGGGCAAGCAGCATGGCCACGAGATGAGGCACAGCGGCCGCAAGACACTCAAGGTCCTCGTGCCTGTCCTCAAGGACGTTCGTGCTAAGAGCACACTCACCCTCGACGAACGGAGGACAGAGAGACTCAAATGCATTAACAAGACTAGCAGCGTAGTCTAGACGACAGGCAGCAGCAAAGTCGACAAGCTCAGCAACTAGGGCAGACGCAGTAGTGGACTCAAACGACGGGTCAGTGACAACAGTGGCTAACAGACGCGTGACAGTAGGGTGCTCAGTATGAAACTGGTCGGACTCAGGGTCAGCAACGACAGGAAGAGAGGACGCAGGCGGAGACGGCAGGTGAACACGTTGCGGCGGAGAGGAAGGACAACGGACGACAAGGGAAGGGCCGGGGATAGCCGGCTGACGCGGACGAGGAACATGACGACTGGAACGACCAGAATGGACAGGCAAGACAGGACACGACGCAGGCTTACGACGCTCAGCAAGGCCCCTTGTCTGCTCAGTGTACAGAGAAGGAGCAGGCAGCAGTGAGCCAGGCTGTAATCGAAGACTAGTAGATGAAGGGAGACTGAGAACCTGGCGAAGCGCAAGGCAGGTGGTGGCTGAGACGACGAAGACGTCGGAGCGAAGAACAAGCGCGGTTGTATAGTGCCACTAGCACCAGCAGCTCCAGCACCTCCAGAACCCTCAGCCCCAGCTCCTCTAGGACCTGCTCCACCAGCTGCAGCACCCCCAGAACTGGCACCTCCAGTCCCAGGGTCTCCAGCCTCAGTGCCCCCTGTAGCAGCACCCCCAGACCCAGGGTCTCCAGCAGTAGCACCCTCAGACACAGCACCTCCAGCCCAAGCAGCTCCAGTACCTCCAGTACGAGCACCTCCGGGACCAGCGACTCCAGCACCTCCAATAGACAAAGGACCAGCACCACTCCCAGCTCCATTGACGTCAGCAGAAGTACCTCCAGCAGCAGAGTCCCGAGCTCCAGAAGCGTGACCCTAACGGCGACCGTACTAGTCGTGCAGCTGCTGTGAGGTGAGAGGCACATGCGGACGAAGGCGGCTACTCCAAGGAGACCGCGTAACAGTAGTCTCAAAACCCTCAGGCGTCGCACCCCCAGACTCAGCACCCCCAGGCTCCTCACACACAGGCTCAGCACCCCCAGATGCAGCACCCCCAGGCTCAGGACCTCCAAGCTCCTCACGCGCAGGCTCAGCACCTCCAGGCTTTACACCCTCAGGCTTAGCACCCCCACGCTCCGCACCCCCAATCTCCGCACCCCCAAACTCCGTACCCCCAGGGACAGCACCACCCCCAGCAGGACCTGTGTCACCAGTGACCTCAATAGGCGCAGGTACGGGAGGGTCTACCTAAGAGACATCTGAAGGAGCAGGACCTGGCGCTGGGAGGGGATCTACCTGGGGAGGACCTGGGGCGAGAAAGAGCGGTGGGGGGGGTGCGAGGGGCAGTGCGGTAGGGAAAGAGACGGTAAAAGGGAACTGACTCATCAAAGGTGACGTCTTGAGACGGAATGACGCGGCGCGAGGCGGGGTCGTAAAACTGCCAGCCAGGCGCGTCAAGGACAAAGCTAAGGAAGACGCAGGGAATGGTGCGAGGGGAGAGCTTGTCCGCGGTGGTATCGCGGACAAAGGCACAAGCAATCCCAGACCTGGAAACGCGACGCATCGCCAACCTTCCCCGTCCACAGCAGTGTGGGCGAGGTCTCCGACTAGGAGACACGGGGCCAGAGGTTGAGCTGATGCGCGGCGTACCGGACAGCAAACGGCCACAGAAAATGGGGGGCAGCCGCATGGACCATGGAGGTACGAGCGACCTCCATGACTAAGCCAATGCGGCACTCGGCAACCCCATTCTGCTGCGGAGAGGCCGGAAGCGTGAACGTCTGGCGGATGCCGTGCTCCGCATAGAAGGCTGCTAAGAGGTCTGAGGAGAACTCACCACCTCTGTCAGAGTGCAGAGGCAAGACAGGAAAGTCCGACTCGAACCGCTCGCGGAGCTGGAGACGAACAGCGCGGATCCAGGGGATCAAAACATCAGGGACCTCCCCCTTGCGCTGCAAGGGGAAGACCATGGTGTAACGCGTGTAGTTTTCGACGACCAGCAGGAAGTACCGCTCGTGGCCCTGTCCACGGACGTGGGTTGGGCCCCACACGTCCAGGTGGAGAGTCTGCAGCGGAGCCTCTGTGGGTGCACGTCATTCTGAGTGCATGTCATCCTAACGTCCTGCCGAGTGCTCATGCTATTTGTGCTTGCATGATTAGCATGAGCGTATGTCACTGTGCATGGCTGTTGGATATTATCATCTCTGTGTTTTTCTCCAAATCTAAATGCTTGATCATGCAGGAGAAATCCAGAGCTTTCCAACGACACCAAGATCGCCTTATTCCGACCAAGATCGCCCAAGTTACAAGATTTTCAAGATTTGGATTTCTTATTACCTTTTGGGGTTATATCTAATTTGGGTGATTACTTGGGACATGACTATAAAGGGATCTTTGGCTGAGTGGTTAGGAAGGCAACTTTGACTTTTGGATTCGGGTGGCTAGAAGTTTCTAGCATGGGTTGCAAATGTTGCAACACCTAGGCAAAATCCAACTAGATTGGATTTTGCATGTGACACCTCAAGGACCTCATGATGAGGGTTGCATCCTTGCTGCTGGGAAGGTTCCTACCATCCTTCCCTAGCTCTTGGAGAACCCCTTCTCTCTCATGGTTCTCTTGGAGTCCGCAACTCCAACTTTCTATGCCCTAATGTTTGTACTTCCTCCACCATTCTAGTCATGCGGCTGCTGGACGTTTTTACTTGGTTCTCACTCTCTAGACCATCTCAACAACTGATTCAACTTGGAGATGGTAGATAATTCTAAGGCGCACAATCCTACCAAGCGGATTTGTGTTTAGTTGAGAATTGAGTTCGTCGTACGCTCTCAAAGTGACGGATCCTGAACAACAAGTGGTATCAGAGCGGGTAGTCGACTTTGAGACGACGAATCGTTGTGAATTCTCAACCAATGTTGTGAGTGAGACCATTTTCTAGTAGCTCTGCTTGCGAAATTTTGATTTGTGGTCGAACCGCGTTCTAATTCGAAGTATCCAGTCCGCGACGGCAATTTTTGTAGAATTGAAATTTCTGACAGATATCTCTCCAAACGATTTCTCAAGTTTCCACCGTTCATAAGGCCTCAATATCGTTGGTACGAACTCCGGAGGTGCTAGTGGCGAGATGGATAGAAGTAGAGAGGCTGGAGAGCAGGGGGGATTTGCTAGTGGAGGAGTGGGGACTCACCAACCAGCCAACCCTACGCTACCTACTTCTTCTACACCATCTCCCACTACCGTGGATCCTGTGAAAGCTTTCTCTATTGAGAAATTCATGGGGGAGGACTACAAGCACTGGAGTTTCCGCATGAGGTTGATGTATACCCAATACAAGCTATTGGGTTTGGTGGAGGGAAAGGAGAAGATGTCGGAGGCCGCGGAGCTGAAAGGAGCGTGGATGAAGCGATCGCTCAACGCGTACATGCTCATGGTGCAAGCGGTTGGCGGACGGCAACTTGACCACATCAAGGACCTCTTGGGTGATCCAGAGTGTGGCCCCAAGGCTCGGAGGAAGCTTTTGGATGTGCACTCACCGACACATGCTACCGGCATCATGCTACTCGCGCGGCGGCTGCGCGACATCAAGTTCGTTGATGGAGAGCCGATGCAACCGGTATTGGATGAGATACGGGACATCTTCTCGAAGCTACAAGACGGCGGTGTGGTGTACCCGGAGCTTGTGCAATGCGTGAAGATCGTGATACGGCTGCCGGAGTCGTGGTCTGCCCTTGCGATCAACCTCAACTCCCAACAACCCCAATGGAGCGTGGATTACATTCGCGCGCGCATCCTAGAGGAGGACTTGCGGCGGCGGAGTGTGGAGCGCTCGGAGAAGGGGGCTTGCTATGGAGTTGGAGGTGGAACAAGTGGCTTCAAGAAGAAGTGGAAGGGCAAGAACAAGGACAACCCTAAGGAGGATGGCAGCGGGGGTCAAGGGGAGGTGTGCTTCTACTGCAAGAAGTGCGGACATCGTTGGCGGAAGTGCTACCAACGACCCAAGGATTAGACCCCGCCTTCATCAAGCAACCAGCATGGTGGCACGAGGAGTGGGGGAGTCATGGGAGCTAGTGGAGAGGAGAAGGATGAGGAGAAAGGCAGCAAATCTGAGGAGCGGAAGGCCGGGTTCTTCTTCTTCGTGAACGAAGGTGCAACCGACCTCGCTATGGCTGCCAAGGTTCTCCTACACCCCCTCACCCATTGGGTGATTGACTCCAGGAGCACTTGGCACATGACTCCTCGTGCGGACCTACTCGATGAGATTCAGCCCGCACCAATCTCTACAGTCACATCCGCGACGGGCGCCAAGGCCAAGGTCATGGGCATGGGATGCGCCAAGTTCATGGGAGCGGATGGAGAGCTCGTGGGGCTGAAGAACGTGCTGTGGGTGCCGGACTTGTGCGCGAACCTGATTTCTACCGGCCGGTTGGGAGATGCGGGTGTGAACACCGGGACGATTGGCTCAGAGCGCTATCGTGCCTACAACGATGAGCGGCTGATTTGGGACCTGCAGTGGAAAGGGGATGTCCACAAGCGGATGTGGCAGATCCCGGTCCTCCCTTGGCGGAAATCGGGCAAGACGGCAGTGGCGGCATCTATGGAGGAGAGTGTCACCGAGGAGGAGCAGCAAGGTGTGCAAGGAGAGGAGCTGATTGGAGGAAGCGCGGGGGTGAAGGCGTCGGCTACCTCGGGCCAAGTGGATTGGGAGACTTGGCATCGGCGGCTCGCACACGTGGCTGTTTCTACATTGGAGGTGATGCACAAGGAGAAGTGCGTGCATGGGCTGCAACTGCAAGGAGATGGCGCTCACTATGGCAGATGCGAGGCGTGCATGCAAAACAAGTTTGCGCGGTTCCCGTTTCCACGTGCAGAGGGATCAGCCAAGGCACCATTGGAGGTGGTGCACATGGACCTGGTGGGTCCTATGAGGACTGAGGGGACTGGGGGAGTGCTGTACTTCCTCACCATGGTGGACGAATGGAGCCGTTTCACGTGGGCACGTCCCTTGTCCAAGAAGAGCGATGCTGCAGCAGCAATCAAGGAGGATTGGTTGCCGATGGTGGAGCGGCAAGCGATGCGGCTGGTGAAGGTGGAGAGTTCCTTGGAGCGGAATTCACCAAGTTCCTTAAGAGAAATGGCATCCGACATCAGCTCACCTGCCCTGGAACACCGCAGCAGAACGGCATTGCTGAGCGTGCCAACCGGACTATCGGCGAGGCGGCTAAGACCTTGTTGGGGGCTGCTGGGATGCCCTACAAGTTTTGGCCTGATGCCATTCGCCATGTCATCACGGTCAAGAACAGGGTCTTGACGCATGTTGGCGACAAGCATTGGGTGCCGTACGAGCGTTGGCTTGGGAAGAAGCCATCTATTGACATGCTGCGTGTGTAGGGCTGCATGGGGCTTGTGATGGTGCCTAAGGAGCAGAGGCACAAGTTGGAAGTTGCTGCTGTGTGGGCTGTCCATCTTGGGATGGCTCCTGTCTCGAAGGGGTGGCTGATGTGGGACCCCAAGAGCAAGAAGTCGCTGGTCAGCCGTGACGTCAAGTTTCTTGAGGACGTCATGTACAAGGACTGGCAGCAGCAGCAGCAAGTGCAGATTGGCTTGCATCTGCAGGAGATTGAGCAGTCTGCAGTGGAGGAGGTTCAGCTGCACCTTGAGGATCTCCCTGGGTCAGAGCTGACCAGTGACCACAGTGGCGGTGGTGAGCAGCATGGCGCTGGTCCTGCTGCGGAGGAGGGGTTGGAGGATGAGTCGGCACGTGTGGACTCACCATCTTAGCCTGAGCCTGCTGCAAACGCCAAGGTCACCAAGAGGAGTGTGCAGAGAGGAGCTTCACCACATGGGCAGCAGATTGCAAACCGCGAGAAAAGAGTGGCAGCAGCACCCTCAAGGCTGAAGTATAGCCGTTTGGGAGGACTCAAGCAAGGTGCCATGGCGGTTCAAGCGGATGAGGGAGAGGATGAGGAGATGGTGTTCTGTTTCTTCACACCCTTGCCTGGAGAACCAGCCACAATGGAGGAGGCACTGAGTGGACCCCAAAAGGAGGAGTGGAAGGCTGCCATGGATGCGGAGCTCAACAGTCTCATTGAGAATGGGACTTGGGAGCTTGTTGAGTTACCCGAGGGGCGACGGCCGATCAGCAGCAAGTGGGTCTTCAAAGTGAAGAGTGGTGCTGATGGTGCGTTGGAGCGGTTCAAGAGCCGCTTGGTCGCCAAGGGGTTTCAGCAGAAGGAGAAGGTCGACTTTGGGGAGATCTTCGCTCTCGTTGCTAAGCTAGTGACATTGAGGACTTTGATGGCTGGCGCAGCTGTGAAGGGATGGCACGTGAAGCAGATGGATATCACCACTGCGTTCCTCAATGGAATACTGCTGGAGGATATCTACATGGCGCAGCCCGACGGCTATGAGGATGGGACCAGCAGGGTGTGCAACCTTAAGAAGGCCATCTATGGCCTTAAGCAAGCGCCCAAGTGTTGGTACGAGAAGCTGGAGGAGGTGCTGCTGGGTGGAGGCTTCAAGTCGTCCCAGGTGGATCACAGCTTGTTTCTGCTTGGAGAGGGGGAGTAGCTGCTTTTGCTGCTGGTGTATGTCGACGACATACTGCTGTTCTCACCTTCCATGGAGCAGATTGAGAGGACACAGAAGCTGCTGATGGACAACTTCAAGTGCAAGATGCTGGGGGATGTCCACTACTACTTGGGGCTGCAGATTGAGAGGGATGTTGAGAGGAGGTGGCTGAAGGTGCATCAGTCACACTACATCTCTGGTGTCATGGCACCGTTCCCTGCGGGCTTCAAACTGAAGAAGGCAGCTGAGGAGGATCATGTACTCGAGGATGAGCAGCAAAACAAGTACCAGTCAGTCATTGGGAGTGTGATGTATGTTGCAATGCATACACGACCTGATGCTTCATTCGGAGTGGGGCAGCTGGCCAGAGTTGTGCAACGGCCCACTGTGGAGCAGTTGGAGGTGGCAAAGCGCTTGGTGCGCTACCTTGGATCAACGACATCTGCTGGTGTTCAGTTTTCAGCTGGCGGCCAGCTGAAACAGATTGGAGCAGATGGGGTCACGCCTGGTACCTTGAAGTTGTCGTGCTTCACCGACGCCACATGGGCCTCAGAGGATGAGGATCAGTCATCGGTTGGCGGCTTTGTGTGCATGGTCGGAGGTGGACCAGTGAGCTGGAGGTACAAAAAGCAGAGTGAGATTGCTCAGTCTTCCAGAGAGGCAGAGTACATGGCGATGTACCATGCCATCAAGGAGATCGTGCTCCTGAGAAAGCTGCTGGAGGACATGGGAGCTGAACAGGAGGGACCTACACCACTTTTCTCCGACAGCGAGGCTGCTATTGGCATGGCCAATAATCCTATCCTGAATGGGCTGAACAAGCACATGAAGATTAAGTGGCACTGGGTGAGGCAGATGGTGAAGGAGGGAGCTGTTGAGCTTCACCATGTGAAGGCTAGCAAGTAGGCGGCAGATTTTCTCACCAAGAGACTTCCCTAGTAAAATGTGGAAGTCTCTAGCGACTGTCAGGCTCAAACGCGAGAACATTAAGCGTTGCCATAATCGCAGTGCAAGTAAAGCCAGTAGGCAAAGGCAGTACGTAGCAGGCAGCAAGCAAAGGCAAAGGCAGCAGGCAGCACGCAGTAGGCAGCAGGCAAAGGCAGCTCAGGCAGCGCGCGGGGCAGTAGCAGGCCGCACGTAGGCTGCAGCAGCGGGCCTCACGCGGGCTCCTAAGGCAGCTCGCGGGGCAGCAGCAAGCTACGCGCGGGCTCCTACAATGGCGTGCGGGGCAGCAGGGGGCCGCACGCAAGCTCCTAAGGCGGCACGCGAGGCAGCAGCAGGCCGCGTGCGCTCCTAAGGCAGCTAGCGGAGCAGCAGCGGGCTGTGCAGGCGGCACACGCGACGCGCGGGGCAGCAGCGGGCTGCGCAGGCGGCGGACGCGGCGCGCGGGGCAGCAGCGGGCGGCGCTGGCGACGAACGTGGCGCGCGGGGCCTGAGTGGACTGCGCGCGGCGGCGGGCTGCGCGAGCTCGTCGCGGGCTGCGCGAGCGGTGCGCGGGCGACGCGGGCTCGGCACAGGCTGCAAGCGCGGCGCGCGGTGCTGCAGCTAGCGTGGCGCGCGGCGTTGCAGCGGGCTGCATAGGCGGTTGCAGAGGCGGCTGCAGCAATAGCGCGCGCTAAAAAAAAGATACGCGCGCGTGCAGCTGAGGCGCGCGCGTGTAGCCAGGGCGCGCGCGGGCAACAGGCAAGGTACGCAGGCAAGCAAGGCCGTAGGTGAGGTAACGCGGTAACAGGTGGGCCCTAATCTTAGGTCCTAAAGACCTACTGCTCTGGATACCATCTTAGAAACTAGGCAGGAATGTCTTTGACTATGGAGAGCTTTTGGTACAAGAAAGAAACCTAAGGGGTTTTACCCCACAATATCAACCCCACTACAGCCTACCCAAAACTAAAACATATGTATATGTTTGTGTGAAAGAACGAGGAATGATTGACTAAGGAATGAGTGTGATACAAATATGAAACCCTAGAATTGTGTACCCCTTAGTATCTAACCCGCTACAGCCTACACAGGCTAGATCATATAAGTTTGACACACCCCCATAGGCAAAGTGGGGGAGAACAAGGGGTCACAAGACCAGTCAAGCAAAGCAAAGCAAAGCATGCTCAGGGTGGATCACAACGTCACCACACATTCCGAGCACAAGTTCAAGGCCACAAGGCCAGTTCACATGCAAGGTCATATATAAAGGTAAACAAGCAAGTGCAGGTATAGATAGATCACAGTACAAGCAAGGTCAAGAAGTGAGCAAGTGAGGCCAAGTAGGCACAAGACCTAGCATCGTACAAAAGCGCTGATGATCACAAGGCGGAGTGCCTTGGTAAAGATATCAGCAGTGTTGGCCTGAGAGGCCACGTAAGCAAGGCGCAGCTGACCACGCTGCTGCAGCTCACGAGCAAGGAAGTAGCGAAGAGCAATGTGCTTTGCTTGTGCTCCAGT